TGGCCGGGGAGCCATTGCTAGAGCCAGGAAAGCTCCTTGGATGCCTTGCTTGTGATGAAACCTACTGAAAATAGAGCAACCTCTTTCAGCCTTAACCTCCTATCTATGAAATAAGCATATGTTTTACACTTAATTCTGAAAGCTAGGATTCTGCAAAACTTAAGTTGTTGAGAGCATGTTGGGAGAAAATGTTATTGGAAATACGTGGTATAATCCATTAGAATGACAAGTTGTACATGCCCATTGCACCCTAATGGTCTCAAATATGTTTTGTGGTGTATATGAGTATTTTATTTATGCTGAATAATTCTATAATGAAACTTGTTCCTGAAATACACATCTGATCCCATTTGATTGAGTTTAAGGGAAAAAAATAGCATCCATTTGTATGACATCTTGGATATTCTATGCAAATTTCATGGCTGTGAATTGTGAGTGGAGGTATGTGCCCATGTTCTATGTTAAAAACCTTAGTCATACTGAGGCTTAGAGGGGTGACCCTCTCCCCTAGTCACCCAGCTGTGAAAGCCAGAGCCATAATTTGGACTTGGGACTTCTTGGAGTTTTTATTTGGCATTCTTTCTTGAAAGGACCACTTCTGTGATTTGAATGTTACCAGACATTTAACTATGATAAGCATAATCAACCAAAGGTGGCAAAGCTTTTCTGCCTTTTCCCTTAATGGTTAGAAATTGGTGATCAGAAAAAACAAATATATGTCAGTGATATTGAATGCATATATTATTTTGAGCTTCAGATTTGATAAAATGCTTAGTTATGGCAAGTGTTCTAAATTAAACTTTTCCTGGGAAGAGCAGCAAAGAGGGCCCCAGAGTGGTAAGGGAAATGCTGTATTCTATTAATGTTTATATTTGGCTGTAGCTCACCAAAAATCAAGGTTAATACAGACAGTTTTCTCTTCCAGTCTGTGTATAAGTTGGCAAATGACAGGAACAACATTTGTTTCTAATCACCCATCCATCTTAATAATGCCAAACAGATACAGTACAGAAACTATTGCATGACAACCAGCACTTCATGACATCAAAATCTTTGCCAGTTTGAAAGAGAACCTCGAATCTGGGAAAAGTTACATTTTTATGCTTTTGGTCATGATCTTAGAAGACAATTAATAGGTCCATTGGCTGACAAGATTAGACATTAAAAATTATATTGTTAAAGTGTAAACATTTAATGGTTTCACTAGAGAACTATACTGTAATGTTTGAAAGCAGAAAATATTTACTGAAGGACTTTTTGGGGTCATATTTCTAGAACCAAGGCAAAGCTCAGCTATTATGGTCTAAAGAATTAGAAAAAATACTACAACAGAAGAGCAATATCTTTGTATGCATGATACCAACGAAGTTCCTTAATATGTAAGAAATTTGGCAGTCATGTGGAGGCTTTCGAGTTGGCTTTTTTTCTTAAGCTAGGGGAAGGGAATTTATCATAAGAAGTTTTAGTCTTTTTCCAATGTGGGAAAGGGGCCATTTTTGTTTTGGGCTTGTTATGGGAAAATAGGAGAGGTAGGTGTCAGGGAATGCCCTTTTGTTAGTGCTTGTTAGTTACACCCAGTCCTCCAGCAGACTCTCCTTTCTCAGCACAGACTTCTTGCTGCCTTTGGCAGGCACATGTATTCGGTGCTCTACAGAAATGAAAGAAAGCAGTACTAAATTCCACTGTGGCAGCGTGAGCACTCCCTAATACACTGAGGCAAAAAGGTGTAAGACACCCCCCATGCAGATCTCTCAGAAGAGGGGTGGCAGTGGCCTCTTCTAGAAAAGGACAATTAAGGGGGTGGGAAGAAAAGTTCTTACCAGCTTGGAAAAATCTGCTTACCATTGTAATACAAGTGAATTGAGGCTGTGATCTGAATAATTCAACTAAGTTCTCACAAAGTATGATTTGGTCTGAATTATCCATATAATTGTGTTACACCAGAAAAAATTGTGAACTGTTAGTTGGATCTTGGTTTCCACCTGGGTCTGCCACAAAGAAATGTTTAAGCTACTCTATGGGCCTCTACTTTTCATCTAGAAGATTATGGTCTATCCAAGACAAGGAATTTGACTTTGTAGTTTGTGTTTGAGTGCACATTTCCTGAGGCAGCAAAAATGTCAGTTTTGTGAAATTGTGCACTCATGGGACCAGAGAGGGCATAGGTAATTCTCTTTAGGCATGCTTCCAGCACAACAAGGTGAACCCTGGAAAGCCCCTAGAGTCCATCTGCGGGAATTTTTCTGATATCTCTCCCTCTCCTCTCTCCCTCCCTTCCTCCTCTTCTTCTCTTCTTCCTCTTCTCCTCTTCTTTCCTACTCCCCTCTCTTCTTTAGAATTCATGTGGAGTCAAGAATCTGATTCACAATCTAAAGGGAACTTTAGTTAGGTTGATTATCCATAAGCTAAGGAACTTGAAGTCAGCCAGCCAGAATGGTGGTTGAAGTTGTTCACTGCCTTTTCCTACACACAGGCATCAGAGGTAGGGCTTGGAATCAGGGCACATCTACAACCCAACCATACGCTACTATTTTACAGAAATTGTCTTCTACATTAGAAAAGGGAGGTTTAGACTGATCAGAATGTTGGGTGTCGATAACCAGAGAAGTTTTCAGCCCCCCCCCCCCAAGACAGCAGCCTTGATTCTTGGCTGTGGGAAGGGTCTGACGGGGAGACTGGAATGGGTCCTTAACACGGAGGCGAGGTTTATTGGGGGCAGGCGTGCATTTCTCGCAGATGTGCATTTCTCTCTTCCACCTGGCCGACCTGGCCTGGAAGGGTCTTCCTGGGTGAGAAAAACGAAACGGTAAAGAGTCAACTCGATGGTCAGAAGAGGGTTCTCAACTCTTATCCTTGGCTCCAGGCAAGGCTTACCAAAGGTCTTTTGCCAAAGTAAACAGACCCCCCCACCCCCACTCCGCAGTTCCTTGATTCTTGCTGAAGCCTTGCTGGGGTTCAGCACCAGCGCCATTTCCAGCCTGGGAGGGGCGAGCCGGGTGCTAGAAACGCGGTGGGGGTCTGTGGGAAGGGCGGGCTGTGTTAGAAATTTAGGCTGGGGGTTGGGGGAGGGACAGGCCCTGCCCTTGGCCGACCCACCCACGCGCACGGAGCCGGGGGCGTTCTCTGGCGCCACCGAGGAATCCGGTTTCCTGGGTGGACGCCAGAAAGAACAGTCTTGGCTGGGACGCTGGGTCCTGGCTTCCGCCCGGGGCCCGAGACCCGAGACCCGGGAGCACCACGGATACTCGTCGCTGAAGGCCCGACCGAATCTTTTTCTCGATGCGCGGTTCTGCGGAAGTGGAACCTTTCTGCAACTTAAGCATTCCTTTAACTTTCCGTGTTTCTCGTAGAAAACCCGGGCTTGTGTGGTTTACCCCTGTCTGGGCCTCCTCCACCCAGCAGGTAGAGGCTGAAACTGCCGGAGCTGGGGGACCTGAAGGAATGCCGGGGAGGCGTCGACAGAGCCCCTAACCCTCTTTTTTCCATACCCTTCACCTCCCAATGTGATTGTCATTTGAGTCGTGGAAGTAAGGGTTTGGTCATAGAACACCGACCTTGACCACTCTAGAAAACCTTACAGTTGGAGGGACAGCGCAGGGGATCCGAAGCTGAGGAGGGCACCCCAGTTAACCCGACTTAAGACTCTGGGGTATTCTGTAGGAAGGAAGGATTTTTTTGAAGGGAGAACAGCTATGATTTTAAAATCATCTTTGCCTTCTTCTTCTATTTTTATTTCGCTTGTCTGTGCCTTTTAACATAAATCAGTGGCGATTTAAAATCCCCATTTGCAGAACTGTCGTCATGTACCAGTAGAAATGAAAATAGTGCTTTACAAAACTTATGTAAGAGGTAGTGCCCTCCAGGAGGCAAGGCACACAGTTGGAGAGAAATGGCTACTTCAATCAGAGATGGGAAGCGTCTGAAGTTGCTGACGTCTGGCTCACCATCAATCTTAAGATTGTGTTTTCAAGAGAAAAACAAAGAATTGATCATGAGTCCTACTCATTTCAACTCAGTGAACTCATTGCCTGCCCCCCCCCCCCCCCCCCGCGCACGTTCCCGTCTTTCATTTTTATTTTCTGGCCTAATTATTTGTCTTGCAGGCACAAACCTCCACTTAAATGCCTACCTTTTGTCATAATTCAACCCTGTTTTTATCACTGTTCATGATAATAAGTAGATAGAATGAAAATCAGTCAAACTTGTTACTTGTTAACTAGACTTAGGGATGGGCTTTTTTTTTTTTTCTCTTCCCCGTTCTTGTCAAAAGAGCGTCCTGAAACAAACTCCACTTTCTTTGCCCACCTCACAATACGTTGTTCCAAATCATCCACTTGGGTGAGCTGAGATCTATCCAAGAATGGAAAGAACAATGGGGCTTACATTTCCATTCTCTGAATTTCTCATTGCTTGTATTACTCTTTAGAATATTGCAATCCATAAGTTGTTAGAATCCCACTGCCTTGAAATTTATTGGGAAACAGGTGTTCCCACTTTTCTGGCATCCCTCCGATCACAACCTCCCATTTTAATTAAGGAAATTGTCTCCGGCCAGCCTGAGTTAGCATGGTCTCTTCAGATCCCAAGTGAAATGGGCCCAGCAGCCCCACATCTCTAAATGCTCTCTTCATACCAAAGAGGAGAGTGAAACAAAAATATTACTAATAGGACTTTTTACATTCCTAAAATAGGTTTTCTTTTGAAAAACACATTGAAATTTAAGTTGCTCTTAAACTTGCCCTGAGAAAATCTTTGGTGTTTAAGATAATTGTATGCCAAGATTGTTTCCCAGCTTTTTGAGCTCCAAATCGACCAATTTGCCTGAAAAAGTCTACTTGACTAAAACTTGTTAATAGTGTTGGCCAGAGGATTCTTGGGCACACATCTTATGACCTGTTCTGGTAAGTTGTAGGAGAATTCTTACAGAAGTCATTGGTTTGAAGTTTTAAAAAATCTCATTGTTGGAAGTCCCAGCCTGAATATTTGTACAGCAATTTGCCAGGTAAGGAAACTTGCAGAATTCCTCTACCATTAATGAGTCATTCAGGAAAATATTATGGCCCACATGGAAGTTTCTAGAGAATCAAACCTGAACAGATTTTTGGGGAGTGGTGGTTAAAAACTCACCACCTCCTGTTACTACAAAGCATTAAAAGTCAGTTGCGAGTTTTATTTAAAAATAAGCATTATACCTGGGTTTCATAAAATTCATACATGACTATGTACATAGATACAAATAAAATAATATTAAAAATAAAAATCACACTTGCTTTCACATGGCAGTGGCCCTGGCACCCCACCTACATAATGTTAACTTTTCCTTTAAAGGAATTGCTTGGCCCAAGGAGGCCACAGTTAGAGATCACCAAGCCATTAATAAAGCTGTAGCCCATTGCCTGCAACATTTTCAATTCAGATTTCAAAAAATATAAATAATTTAATTACAAAACCCAAATATATAAAATATTTTGGCACAGTGAAGCATTGGTCAATAGCAGGGAAATGACTTAAGATTCTGTGACACCTCTCTCACATTCAGTCATACCTGTAAATTACACATACGTACTCATGGAACAGGGGCCCAATAAACAAACCCCAAACAGTAGTCATATCATTTATCATATGGAATAGTTCCCTGATGTGCTTCTTTCTCGTTTTTTGTTAGTAACAAATCCATGGAAAGTGCGACAAAAATAGTAGAGGTGAAGGGGTGCCTGGGCAGTAAGAATAGAGGAAAAGTCTGTGAAGGGTGGGAGGGAGATAGGGTACAGGCTTGGTAAAGAAATGCTAACAGTTCTGAAAATTTGCTTTGGTCTTCTGTCAAGTTACAAAAGAGGAAGGAAATATTCTGGACTAAGTTAAAGCACTTATGTCAAAAATCTTTAGCTTTAAGGCATGTTTGATGGAGCGTTTTCTTTTAAAGTTTCTTTTTCTGTGGAGAGAAAGTGCAAAGCCCTGAACCTGCAATAACGTCCTCGATGGCGGGAACCCCGGTGGGGCTCAGACGCGCTGCTCAGGCCAGGAGCGTCTCCATAGGGCAGGGCGGGTGCGGCCCCGGGCCCCGGCCCCCGGCGGAGGCTGACTACAGGGCTGCGGGCAGCCTCAGGGGGCAGTACAGGTGCGCGTCGCAGCCGGTCGCCGAGAAAGGCTTGGCAGGGGTCGAGGCGACGGGCGCAAGCAGGAGATAAGACGCTGGCTCCGCCACACCACAGCCGCAGAGAGGCAGTACTGCCCCGCCTGACGCGCTGGGGTGGACTGCGGGATATGCGGGCATCGGAGGGCAGAGCGTGGCGACCCACGGCAGCCGCACTCCAGGGGCCGAGTCTCCGTCTCGACGGCTGCGGAAAGGCTTGCTGAGGATGCTATCTATGGCAAAGGAGCTGGAGAATTTGCCCACGGGGCTGGCGTGCCCCTCCTGAAGGGTGGGGGACCTAGCTTGGGGAGAGCCCAGGGCGGCGGGAGCCAGAGGCGAGGCAACAGCCTCCTCCCGCCCTAGACCTGGTGCCAGGGCCGCCGCCCGGTGGCCGAGGCGCTTGCGGCGGCGGCGAAAGACCCCGTCGGCGAAGGTATACTCGCTGTTGGGGTTGAGCATCCAGTAGTTGTCCTTGCCCCAAGGCCGCGAGGGGTCGCGCAACACTTTGACGAAGCAGTCGTTGAGCGACAGATTGTGGCGCACGGAGTTGCGCCAGCCTGTGTAGCTGCCGCGGAAGAAGGGGAACTTGCCCATGAGGTACTCATTGATCTCGGCCAGCGTCAGGCGCCCGCCCGCGGAGTCACGGATGGCCATGGCGATGAGCGCGATGTACGAGTACGGGGGCTTGGGCCGCCGAGTGTACGGCTTGCTGCGCCCGCCCTCACCGACCGCTGCGCTCTCCGTCACGGGCCCCGAAGCTCCCGCCTCCACGACCCCAGACGTCGCAGCTGCCGAGCCCTCCTCCTCGGCCGCAGGTTCTCCTCTCGCCTTCCGTTTGTTGCCTCCCGCAGCTGGGCTGTTGGCCACACACTCCCCGTCCGAACCCAGCGAGTCATCGCCGGCTGCCGACAGCGGAGAGGGTGCGTCGCTACCGCCTGCGCCCTCCAGGTCACTACCCGGCTTGTCCCCGTGGGCCTCGGGGGGGCCGAACACCTCCAGCTTCATGCCCGCGCACCCCGTCCCTGCCCAGCACCCTACCCTTTTTCTCTGAGTGGTCTTGGGAAGCTGGTGCAAAAAGGCAGTGGTGGTGATTTCGGCGCCCGGAGTCCTTGACTTCCTCTAACGAGAGCGCTCCCCCCTCTTGGCGAGAGACAGTCACTTTACCATAGGAGAGTCCTCTTCCGCTGGAATTTTTCTTTGGAGGGGTTGTGCTTATTGGGTGCACTAAGAGCGGCAGAGAGGAAGGAGTTGGGTGGGCGCTGTCTTCAGTTCCAGGATAAGAGAATTCGGGGTGAATGTGTGCCGGGGTGCGGTTTCAACCTCTCGTTTCCAGACACCAGGGCCTTGAGATTTCCTGCTGGAAGAAACGTACGCATCTGCTCTGGTTCCAAGAGATCAGGAGGGTTTCTTCAATGGACTTTCCAGGTCCTCTGCAGGAGACTTCGGGCACGGAAATGGTGCAGGCTGTTGTGCGCGCCACCCTTGGGGGAAAGTCCGGTGTCTTCAGCCTTGAGCGCTCGAGGAGCCGAGTCCCTGAGGCTGTGGCTTAAGCAGCTGCCTTCCAGTCTTCCGCCTCTCGAGCAGCATCTCCGCGCTAGCCGGCTGCAGCTAAGTCTGACCTCCACCTTCCTCCCAGCCCAATATAACCCTGGGGCGACTCCGCAGAGGCGGGGCCTCGGCTCCGACAACAGAGGGATGGGGAAACTAGGTGGCTTAGGTAGCTGAGACTCTCTGGCAGGCGCTTACCAGGTTAAGGCCCAGAGGCTGCGCCACCTCCAAATAAAAACACGCAGGTTGTTTGTTTTGGGTCTGACCAGGCCCGCCCTCTGCCTCTAGCCAATGGGGTGCGTGCGCGCGGCTAGGGTGTGCGAGTAATTGTGAGTTTGTGTGCGTCTCCGTGTCCTAGCTGGGCCCTCCCGCTCCTCGGCTCAAGTGTGAGCACCCCGCAGTCCCAGAGAGGTCTCTGCGCCCTGGAGCGATTTGAGAGGGAGGGCAAAGCTTGGGGGTGGGGGCAGGGGAGGCGAGGGGGGCGTACCTGGAAGGGCTGGGCCAAGTTAGCAGGGAGTATGCTCAGGCCTGTAGCCTTCCTAAGGTGCACGCGGTGCGTGTTTGTTTCTCTGGTGATGAAAACAGTGCGTTTTCCGAAAGTAAATGCCTCTCATCCCTAACTAGGTGCTGAACCGCACAGACCAAACTGGACACACCTTTGCAGTGACCACTTACTGAGCCACGTTCTGTACCCTTTCCTGTGATTCCCTTTTAAGGACGATTTTTGTCTTCTTTCCTTTTATAAAAAATAAAACACTGGGCTTGAAATCGTATACATACGCCTTTTGATATGAACTCGATTCTTGCTTGCTAAGGATCTCCGACTTTCACTTTTCTTTTGCCTTTACCTTTTTCTGTACCTGGCTGGTGGCTCTTGGGAAAGAGAAGTAGTGTCCCCTCTTCCCCTGGGGCAGCTGTGCCTAGAATCTAGAGCGGGATGCCCAGCTCTGCTTTCCCGCGTGCCCCTCTAGACTCGGAGCCTTTTTGTTCGTGGGTTCGCACAGTCAACAGGAATGACTGGGAGGGCGTGTACCCAGGGGCAGGCGCTCAGAACACGATGTGTTTGCAGCCATTTCTTTCCAATCCTTCTGGTGAGGAGTTTTTCTGTGGTTTCAGTGGCACCAGTGTCTGACAGCCAGGAAAAGGGAATATACCTTTTCTTGCTCCAGGAAGTTGAGGACCTGACGTTTGGTGGTGTCAATTCTTAAGAGAGGGGATCGCTGACCCACAGAAGATTACATTTCTTACCCTCTGCCCTTCCGCACTGAAGTTTCCTCCTTTTTCCTGTCTTTGTTGAAAATAGAAAAAGACTGCAAGTACATGGGAGCTCACCTTTGATGTTTATTTTACTATTTTCCACCATTTGTGTGATGTACACAATTCTCTCTTATCTTTATTCAGGAAGTTTTAAAGGCATTTAGTCTGGGATTGGTGGCAGAATGACAGACCCATGGAAGGTTCTGTTATTTTCGTGTTTGGGGAAATGACACATTTAAAGATTAAACTGACACTTATTTTGTGTTCCAGTGAGGAGCGGGTGGGATGTGGCTTCTTTTGGGGGGTGTGCTGCCCTAAAGAGGATGTTCTCATCACTAGCCCTTGGAGTCCATTCACCCTTGGACCTGGAGAGGGGAATGGGTTTGGACAAGAGAGCAGTCAGGTAGAAGTATCAATCTGACTAGGGATAATAGGCACTCAAAATGAGTGTTATCCTATTGTGAACTCTAGAAGTGGGCAGGGCACTTGGATGAAGGCCTATTTTTATGGATACGATAAGTGTAAAGAAGGCCATTGAAAGACTGCAGGGCCAAGGTTTTGTGTCTATCCCCAGTTCCATCTTGGAGACCACACAGGGGAGCTGTCCTATAGGCGTGAAGCCACTCATCTTCCACAACACCCTTGCCCCCATGTTACAGAACAGATCCAGGGGTATGTGAATGATATATTATGACTGAAAGGACCCAACCCTTTTTTGCTCTGCCCCCCCCCCTACTAGGTTGCCTTGCTTGCCCCAAGGAGAAAGACATCTCTCAATACCAGAGATTGGTGAAAAGGAATTATTTATTTAAAAGTTATAGAGACTTAAGAGTAATGACTTGATGTCTTCATTAAAAATACCGAAGTCTTTTAGAATACCCACAGATGCACACAATCCTTCCTTCTCCCTCTGCCCTAGTCTGGGGTACGGTATCTCAGGAAAAGAAGTAGAAGTCCATGATTCAGGCTCCCAGCATCATCAGCTACATTGATGCCATGATCTCCAGTTAATCCAAAATCATGTGGCACCTTTACATGGCCCACCAGCAAGAATCCCTTCACCCCTTTTCTTCCTGGTGAAGTCTCTCCTGCTTCCTAAGCCATGTGGCAAAAGGGAGCACCCCAAAGCCTCGTGGTCCCAACCTGGCATGGCTGTCACACCTGGGTTTAAATGCCAGTGCCAATCTTCCTCTGCAGCCCCATTTCCGACTCCTCGGAATCAGTTACACCTGCCAGCATTCCCGCATTGGTTCAGCTCTACTGGGCTGCCATAGCAAGTCAGGGCAGGCATGGCCCCACGGCATGGGGCCAGTCATCTTCAAGCTCTCACACAGGTGCTGTAACCAGGGGGAGTTGCTTCTCAGTTACATCTTGGGTGGAAGTCACTTCCATCCCCCTGGCTCAAAGCATGGCCACAGCCATTTAACATATCCATGAAACCAGTTAAAGGTTATAGATACATTAAATGACCATTCTAGAGGTTATCTGAAAAACTGTTTTTATTCAAAGCAACACTCAACGGCCCTGCTCCATGTGACCCATCCTCCAGCTCAGACTGGTGGGGCTGAGGACAGCATATATGTATTTTTTTCCTAATATTTCCTGGACACCCTGAGTTCTAGACTCCATTACAAATCCCTATGTGGGCCCCCCCCCCCCCGGCTGCACCCTGTTACACCCATGCAACCAACACATCCCCAGGTTTGGGGCATCACTTCACTCTGTTTATAGCAACCTTGATCCTAGACCCACCCACTGAGTGGCTTCCTTAACCCCATGAAGCACCCTCCTATCTCCATTACCCTTCCTTCCCCAGATTGCCCAGCCCGGCTGCTCCAGGGTCCTCAGGTTAGTCTGGGGGGTTCCAGCGAGCCTCTCTGCCTGTTGATAGGTATATTGTTCAGAGAGGAAAGACGACTGCACCACAATATGTCCTGCTGACACTCACACATGACTGCATGGGCTCTTCCTCACCTGAAAAAAGATGCCAATTAGAATGGATTCAAAGTTTTCTTTCAGATTGTTTTTAGGCACTAGTCTTTTGGGGGGATTGAATATATATCAGGTACATTTCTCCATTGTTGGTGACTTCTCTGGGCCATCTGGTGTGAACTCCCAGCTAACCAGACTAGAGCAGCCCAGGATGCAGGCCTGGGGAGAAGGGTAATGGGGTTGTTGTTCTTTCAGGAAGGCAACCTGGGGTTGGGGTTATATCCCCAAATCTCTCCCCTCTTGCAGACAAAAGGACTATTGGTCACTGAGAAGGAAGGTATACTCCCCCCATTTCACTTTTCCTTTTTATTACCCAGAGATCTCCCCATTACACAGCAGCAGCCTCTCCTTACTCTTTTCTCAGTTAGAAAAAGGATCTTCCAATCACTCCTATAGGATAGCCCTTCACTTTGCCTCAGGGCTGAGCCCCTGGTGAGCTGCTATCTGTAGGCTTGAAGCCTATAAAAGTTTAGGAGGAAGGGAGTGGAATAAGGTAGGAGAATTCTCAGCAGGAAAACCTTTTCTATTTTCAGAATGACTCAGACATTGAGAGATAGGCAGTGTAGTTTTGGAAAGGAAGGCCCATCTTAGAATGACTGGCAGGGTGACCCCAGAAGGGATTAAATTATCCCCAGGAACTAGAATGTAAGCTCCATGAGGATAATAGTTTTGTCTTTTTCCTTCAATACTGTACCCCCAGTCCTTGCCGCCAGAATGACTGTCACATTGTGCCACATACTGGGAATACGCTGCATTTATAATCAATTAAGATCAGTAATAAAACAACTCTTTCTCTCTGTGGTTAATTCTGTTGTTATTATCTTTAACTATTGTTTTATAGCTGGGAAGCCATTCACCTTTTGCAGATATAAGAAAAATGGGAATGGAGGGGAAATACATTCATTCACTGCACCTCTGTCTACAACATCCTCAAAACTATGAACCATTTAAGAGCTCAGACACTGAAAAAAATTCACATCATATTTTGCTAGTTCATGAGTTCCCCAGAAATGCTGGGAGATTTCTGTCCCCTATTCCTCAGTCCTTTTTAATGGGGGGTCTACTATTGATGGGTTATAATAAATGCCTGTAGGTAGAGCCTGACTTAACTACTTACAGCTACAAAAGACCCACTAACTAATTTTGACTGTTGCCCCTTAATTTCCATGGGAATAAGTGAATAAACTATGGCAAAGGATGAGTTCACATTTCCATGATTTCCTGGCCTCCCTGAAGTGGTTTTAGGCAAAAGAAGTTAATGCATTTATCTTTAGATACCAAGAACTAATTTAATTAACTATGGAAACTATCTGCCATTTTAAGACTTTCTGTAATTTGATAATGCTTCACTGAACCAGTTCCTAAACACTGATGTGGGAAGGATATAATTTAATTCTTAACATACCTAAGGCCACCTGGTACACTGGAGGTTGAGTCCTAGTGGCAATATTGATGACTTGCTATCCATTAGAAGAGCACACAGGCTGCTAGCACAAAGGGAACTATGGAATCAACTTGATAACATGCACCTGGGCAACCTGGAAACAGCTTTGAGTTTCTTGCTATGGTAACCCTTGCCAGTAGAGCCACAGTTGTGCCATTTGTGTCCGAAGCGAAGGTTAACTTAAAATTGCCTTCCTGTGAAAACCAGCGCCTCTGGAGAACTCTGCTATAATGTTAAGAACTGAGGAGACTCAGGCATAGAGAACATGCTAATGTTGACAGCTCTAGGACAAAACCCATGGCTCTGAATCTATGCAAAATCTCTGGTAGAGCAGAGAGGGTTGAAAGTCAGGCGGCAATGCAGGTCCTCTTCAAAGATAAAGCTGGGCTCCCTCTCTATCCCCCCTTTTTTTCAGTGAAAACATATGGGAAGAAATGGAGTATTTTGTACTCTGTTCCAACTCCCAACTCCATAATCTGGCTGGTCCCTTGTAGATGCTGAACACTTGTGAAGAATCCTGCAGAGATGGGGGATTCT